ATTGTATTATCCTACACTTCATTATAAATTTAGATAAACCAACCATTGTTATATAGCCTTAGTGTGCTAGGAATAATATATAGATATGTATTTATAAAGTTCATATGATATTTGATTCTATTTATTAGCTGATTGCACTAACTGTAATACCTTTTTATTAAACCTTTTCAGAGCTTAGGAGAGAGTTGTGAATGAAGCACATTTCAGTAAAGATGATAAATCGCTACCATGAACTCACATGAAAACACAGTAGATTTTCAGGAGAAAATTATCTCACTGTATGTTTTTCTTTTTGTGTTTTCACATTTATAGGCTTGACACTTTTTTACACAAAGTGTTGTGTCAAAAAATTTGGTCATTTCATCATAGTACATGCTCAGAAACTAAAATTGAGCTCTGATGATTTAAAGGAACAAGGAGTGGTTTAAAATTATTCTGTGATGATGATATTTATATCATGCTCATAGCACACACACTCTTATATTTTTATAGATTAACATACACATTGATAATTTCATGATGTTGCCATGGAAGAAGAGTGTATTGTATTGAAATTAAAATCACCATGTCATTTCTATATTTCATGTGTGGTTATTTATATTAGTGCATAAACATATTTCAGCACATTTTAGTGTTAAAATTTTGTTGCTTTTATAATTGATAATGTGGTATGATTTTGTTTCAATTTTGTTTTAACTTTGATTATTATAGTTTCTTGTTAGCATAAATTTTTAAATTGTATAAGTAATCTTCTTTTCACATTTATTTTATCACTGTACCATTTTTTTGTCCCAGTCATTTAAATAAACACCAATTACTAATATTAACAGCAAAACTATATTAATTGTTACAACAACACACGTTTAGACGGCATTTTCCCCGAGATCGGGGGTTGCCGTTTGGCTACCTATGATGAAACCGAAATACCCCTCGACGCCATCCACATCTGTCACTCGCCTCAGTATCACGCAACCCCGCTTTCACCTTGTCCTTCTCCACCTGCTCTCTCCATCCCAATCGCGGACGACCCCTTCCTACCACTCCTTCAACCTCGAACTCCAACGCTCGCCTAATCCCGACCCTTTCATCCCTTCTCAACACATGTCCATACCACCGCAATCTCGATCTCCTTATCAATGTCACAATGTCCTCATTCAGTCCCATCATTGACATCAGCTCTGTACTACTCCTCCTATCCTTCACTTTAACCCCACACATCAC